AAATATTATTTTCTTTCCTGTACTCTGAGACATGAAAGGGTCTTACCTCCTGAGTCTTCCGGTAGATTTTTTTCAGAACCTCTTAAGTTGACATATTGTTTGATGAACACTTGTTGATTTAATGAACGACCCTGAAGAAACCAGTCTTATGTATGTCAACATTGCCCCCAAGGAGATACTGGCTCTGCTGGATCCCATGACTGTGGATTACTTAGAATGATTTAGTGATCTGGTACTGGGCTTGGGGAGAAGTGCAACTGATTTGAAGTCTTTTGAAAGCACATGTAGATGAGGAATCATCAGAATAGCTCAGATTAGATTTTGTGTGAAATTTCAGCTCAAGGTTCCATTTCATAGCCGGACGTGGGAATTACTACTGTTTAGACCAGCGATTCTCAAGTAGGCACAGTTTTGGCCTGGGGAAACATTGGCAATGTCTAGAGATGTTTTCATTTGTCACCATTCGGGGTGGAAATGTTTCTGGCCCCTCATGCGTAGAGCCCAGGAATTCTGCTAAATATCCTACAATACATAGGACAGTCCCTGAAAGAAAACTTTATCTGGTCCCAAATACTAACAGCATGAAAACTGACAAACTGCTGTGGGCAGATTGCCTCATTTAAAGGGCAACTCCATTGATGTTACACATTGAGCTTTTCCTCTGAAAGAGATCTTGACAATTATCAACTTAGGGCCTTTTCGGGCTCAAGTTCCTAAATGGTCTCATTACCCGTGGGCCTTCTAAACATGTATGTGTTTCTGTGGTTGAAGATTTGCAGGCCCCAGCTCATGGGCTTCTCCCTATATACAGAGCAGGCTCAAGCCAAGTTCTTTATGCTCCCTGCGCTAATGCTGCTGTTTAGATGTTGCAAAGCCCCAGACATTGCCACATCACAGTACCCTTGAGACTGGTACGTAATGAGGATAGCTACCTGGTTGGTCCTTATGCTGGGGGCTTTGGTGTTTACACAGAGAAGGTTGTAGGCACCTGATGGAACATGTGAACCTGGCCACACAGCAGTGCTCAGCCCTTCTGTCTGCCTGCTTTCCTTGCTACTGTGAGCTGCTGCTCCACTCCACTGAGATCTCTCTCCCGCCAGCTTGCTCAGAGTTCCTGGCCTGGCAGACCTGTTGTATACGGGCCTTTGGAGCTAGAAGGTGACTTTTGTTAAGGTGACTTGATGCTATCTACCATCATTCCTGAGACGCTTGCTTAAATTCTGCTCTGATGAAACCATTTCATGACGTGGGTGGAGACAAGACAGTATTTTTAACATTTACTTGTAGCTCTTCTGAGCAATGACAAAGATGTCGCCTAGATAAAGTTCCAAATGTCTGCTATGTGTCAGTGGCTAGAACTTGGATAGTGCATGGTCATTGCCAGGAAGAATATACTGTTCAGTTTATATCCTGGAACCTTTTAGCAGACATTGATAGGGCTCCTCCCACGTGGCAGGAATTCCCAGATCTAGCCCAGAGAAAGGACACATGGCAACATGAGGGCAACTCAGCTCAGGACAGCTGGAAATGTTCTGAGAAGAGACCCCTGCAAAGAGCCACACTGGAGACTCTGGGTGAGGAGAGTAGAGAGAGACTCTGCCAATAAAGCACAAGAGCCAATCAGATGAGAGGCGTTTTTGCTGTTGACCATGAACTATAGAACGTTCCTCTTTGCTCTCTTCTCGTTAGGTTCTTGTATATTTGTCGTTCTTCCCGGGTTTCCTTCCTCCATTATTTTTGCTTTGCTGTCTCATCTTTTTTTCCTGTTGTCTTCCATTTTCATACCATCATCAGAGCTGGCTGCCCCAGCAGGCCCCATCTCTGCTTCTTTCTCATTCTCAGTTATGAAACTCCAGTGGACATCAGCCCGAGAGAGTCAACCTTAGAGGCAATGCTTTTAAATAGCATCTTCAATCCAGTGAATCCTCTCCCTCTCCCTCTCCCTCTCCCTCTCCCTGTACCTCTCCCTCCCCTCCCCCCCCCCCCCCCCCACCATGAGACAAATGCTCCATTTGGGGATTTTGTAATCAAGTCGCAAAGAAGACATAGACATTAAAATTATCAATAACTGGGCCGGGTGTTTGGTGTACCTGTTATGATACCAGTAAGATGCCTGCATCGCCAGTCAGAGTACCTGGGTTTGAGGCTTGGCCCCAGCTACTAACTCCAGCTTCCTTCTAATGTAGACCCTGGGAGACAGTGGTGGTGGCTCAAGTAATTGGGTCCCTGCCATTCCCTTGGAAGACCCACACTGAGTTCCTGGCTTCTGGCTTTGACTTAGTCCAGCATTGGCTGTTGCGGGGATTTGGGGAATGATTCGTGGATGCAGGCTCTCCCCTGTCTCTGTGTCTCTGTCTCCTTAGCCAAGCCCTGAAGGAGACATCTTGGAGGCATTATCTTTAGTTGTCACACCAGTCCTCAGGGCAGGTCTGACTATATCAATTTTAACAGTGAGTTAACTGTGTCTAAGAGATTAGGGATAGGAACGACTAACTAAATAGATATTGTCCAGGCCGGCTGTTTGGCATAGCAGATAAAGCCGCCACCTGCAGCACCAGCATCCTATATGGGCTCCAGTTAGAGTCCTGGCTGCTTTGCTTTCGATCCAGCTCTCTGCTATGGCCTGGGAAAGCCATGGAAGATGCCCAAGTACTTAGGCTCCTGCACCTGTTGTGGGCCCTGAGGAAGTTTTTGGCTCTTGGCTTTGGATTGGCACAGCTCTGGCCATTGCGGCCATCTGGGAGTGAACTTGTGAATGGAAGACCTGTCTCTTTCTTTCTCTCTCTCTCTGTCTCTCTGTCTCTGTCTCTCTGTCTGTCTCTCTCTCTCTCTCTCTCTCTCTCTCTCTCCGCCTCTGCCTCTCTGTACTCTGCCTTTCAAATAAAATGAATCTTTAAAAAATATATATTGTCCCTGAACTATCTGGAATGGAATATTTCATTACTAAGAGAAACCTTTCTGCAAGGTACAAATTTTAATGTTTATCTAAACATTTGTAGGTGACTATCATAAAAGAGGAATTTTTGACGGTAATTAAGGTCATCACAATTTCATAAACCACATATTTTGCAAAATCTTGGCACATCTCAGCAATCTCACTGCTTAAAAAGCTGTATTGTAGTCCATGGCAGGGAAAGGAGACAGGAGATAAGAAAGAGCCATAAAACAAATGATTTTAAGATTGCGGTAGCCACAGTGGATACAGAAATTTCTCTCTGTGATCATTACTTTACTTCTCTAACAGCCCTGCTTTCATCTTTAGTCTGAACTTCAGCTAGAGTCTATAAAATGTCTTGGTTTTCAGTGATTAGAAGAAAGTACTGCCCATTACATGTTCTGACTGGTTCTTCCTTAGAAATCAGTTTATCTGGTTTAAGTGGCTCTTATCTCTATTCATGACCCAGCGGATTTTTTTTTTCAAAATCCAGTATTTCCTAAGCAAATGCTTTATCTCAGATATTTCATCACCTCTTGCCTGAGTGATTACAAAACTGCTGGTTTAATCAGAAACAGTGCCTGAAGAAACTATTTTAGTGGTGCAAATTAAATCAACAAATATTTATTGAGAACTATCCCACATATAGTGCTGAGTATTAAGACAAATACAAAGATAAACACCACATTCTAATGGGTGAGACAGAGCGCCTGTCCTCAAGTAGCTGCTCAGGTGCACGGCAAGGACCGCTGGTACACGAATAACTAGAAATGGTTTTTTTGATTGTTTATATCTAGTTTTGTGTTAGGAATTTATGGCATCTTACAAAGAAACATACAGTGCTAGGGGGAAAAAAGACCTGAAAAATCTTGCTAACAATACACAAGTACAGCTAGAGACATAGTTGTACGAGTTCACAAAATATGCACCCTAGAACCAGAGGGCCCTCTCTGTGTGTACACAAAGATATCTCGGGCGCACGGCACAGTACTTGGCACATAGCAGATGCTCCGGAAGCAAACGATGAAATGGGCACAACTCCCACTTTAGATTTCACAGCAACTCTATTTTTAAAACCAAAACCATATTTGAAAATTTAAAAAGCAGTAGATTTCATTAGACCATTCGAAGGGGAACCAGGAGGCTGGCATGGTGGCATAGTGGCTAAAGCCACTGCTTGTGACATTGGCATCCCATATGGGTGCTGCTTCATGTCCCATCTGCTCCATGTTAGATCTAGCTCTCTACTCATGGATTGGGAAAAGTGGTAGAAGATGGCCCAGGTGTTTGGGCCCCTGCCACCCATGTTTGAAGACCCAGATGAAGTTCCTGGATCTTGGCTTCCACCTGGCCCAGCCCTGGTCGTTGGGCCAAATCAAATCAATGCCCAATCAAAAAATTTCATAATCTATATATTACTAGTGGGATTATAAGTTGAATCAGAGTTTCTGGAAAATAATTGATTTTAATAATATAAAATTATTTGTGCACTTTGGTAGAGTAATTATCCTAAAGAAGTAGTAAAAAATGGAGACAATATGGAATACTATATATAACCATTAAAGTCGGTTTTAATGACTATGCCAGGGAAGTAAACATCCATACATGTGTGCATGTGTGTATAAATGATATGAAACGATTTCAGTTTTATAAAAACATGCACACCCACATGAGCACAGAGACATGAGCCTGGAAGGATATGCTTGGTAGATGTCAGGTTTTACTGGACAGTTAGGATTATGGATTAGTTTGTTGTTATTCCCTGCTTTTAAAAGTAAAATCTGTATGGGTGTGTATGGCTTTAATAAGATGACAAAAATAAACACTTTTGGTGGACAAAAGCCTACTTTATAACCCAAGCCAGTCTCGTTCAATTTGCCCAACAAAAGGTTGTGTTAAATTTTCTATGAAGAAATACTGGACATGCAAACCTATCAAATAGATTTGTCACTGTCTCTTCAAAGGCGAAATTCTGTTTCACATTCATCCTTAGCCCAAAGTAGCTAATTTGATTTTATCAGTCATCAGCAAAGGCCTTACATTAAATAATTTATGCATTTTTTAGCTCCATTGCTACAGGGCAAGACTCAGAATTTAATGGAAACCATTGCACTGTTTGACGGTTGGAGCTCATCTGACATGTTTGCTTTGAGAAGCCTCAGCCCCCAGCATCGAGTGGTCACCTACAGCACGTTCAGTCGCCCTGACAGCACCGGAGAGGAATGCAGAGGTCGGAGCAAGATGTGGAATCCGTACTGTGCACGTACACGGAAGCCTCCAAAGTTTCAGACAACAATGGAATGAAAAGGCAAGTTTATTTGGGTACGTAAACTTTTGAAATCAATGCATTATTTTTTTCATAATATAATTCATGAGAAACTTTTAAAGACTCCTTCTATGACTTTTACATTTTTTGCACTAAAATAATCTTACCTTTTCTTTTTTTTTTTTTAAAAAAAAAGTGTATTTATATATTTGAAAGGCAGAGTTACAGAGAATGAGGGAGAGATAAATAGAAAAAGAGAGCGAGAGAGCGAGAGAGTGAGTTTCCATCCCCTGGTTCACTACCCAAATGTCTACAACAACCAGAGCTATACCAGATTGAAGCCAGGAGCCCAGAACTCCATCTAGGTCTCCCATGTGGGTGGCAGAAGCCCGCATACTTGGGCCATCTTCCTCTACTTTTCCAGACACATTGGCAGGGGGCTGGATTGGATGGAGAGCAATCAGGGCTTGAACTGGTGCTCACATAGGATGCTAGTGGAGGCCCAACCCACTGTGCCACAACACTGGCCCCCTGAATTTACCTTTTCATTCTATTTTTCCATGAACTCTGATTATCCTTGGGAAAGGAGGCCCAGAGAAAAGAGTTCAGGATGTAGGTAGGTGCAAAATGACTGTACAATCCATTTCCATGCGTTAAACAATTTCTTTCCATACATTAAGTACTTATAAGCACCCAAATACCTCTCCCGGCTGCAAGGTGTTCCCAGAGCAGTTTTGGTCTCCTGGCATGTACTGTCAGGAAGATCCTGTGGGCTCATTTCTGTGAACTGTCCAACTTATCTACAGCCGTATCTCAAATCTCACCTGTGCCGCCGCTGGACCTCTTCCCTTCGCTTTCCTTCTGCTGCTGGCTTTAGAGCTGAATTGAATTTGTTCATCAGCAGAGGTCTTTCCATCACTGAATTCCTTAGGAAGGTCCAACACTGGGTGTTCATTCCTCTGATGAGCAGATTTTGAGGATCAACTGGATGTGACCTGCAGGTGCTTTGCAGCCCTGGATCCTGGCTGCAAGGGAGTTGCCGTGCATGGTGCCCCTGGCTCTGTCTCAGGATGCAGTGCAATTCTGAGAAAGGCAGCGGAAGCAGGGAGCCATCTTGTTTTTCAAAATGATATCTCAGTTTTACTTAGTTTGGCCAGAGTAAGAACAGTAAGCACACCACTGGGATGCCTTTTGGAAGGACAAACGCTACCTTTAAGGACTCAGGCAGTGGTCTGTGTTGAGAGAGATTTGTGGCACCTTGGGATACAGTACCTCTCTACAGATATGGTAGAAAGGAAAAATTCCATTGGATTCGTAAAGAGTCATCTCTTGGGCTTATCCACAATCTGCCTTTTTGTACTTTCTCCAGGAAGTCTAAAAGTAAGGAGGGTGAAAGCCAGTGTTCCGTATCTCCTGTGTAGGAGAGACAGAGAGCAGGAGCCCCAACTGCCTGGGCAGCTCTCCGCGGCATCCTGCACCAAAAACCGTGCCATATGCAGAACAATCTGAATGTAAATTATACCCGATGCGGAGATTAACAGTGTGTATCATCTGCTGTCATAGAAATTCTCAGATTTCCTGCGTTGATGGGTGTTCCTCATATTGATAATCCATCCACAACTCTGTCATCTTGGCCACTGGTGAGGGGCCACAAGGCATCACCTGTTTCCTGTTGTAGCTGCAACATAGCTCAGCACCCCTAATGCCATGCTCACCCCCACTCACTACAACTTCATCCAGCGAGACCAGCCCCAGGGCACATAGCGTCAGCTTCTGTCAGGTCACTTTCATTCATTCACTTAGGGTAGGAGTGAAGGAATGATGTCCCTTAATTCCTGATTTTTGGTTTTTGTTTTGTTTGTTTTGCTTTAAATGTGTCATGGATTTAGGGCAGATAGCTGTGTGACTGGATCTCCCTGGCGAGTTAAACTTCCTGTTAGTGTTACTCAAGCACACCTGGTTACCCTGGCTGTTACTCTGAGTACTTACTTCCATACCTGTGTGGAATCTTTGGGTAGCTTTAGTGTGATAAATCAAAGTATGCTGGATCAATGGAGGGTTGAAAGAAATGGTCTGAGATGGGGCTAAGGAGTCTGACTTTTTACAAGATTCCCTGGTGATTCTGATGCAATCAATCTCTTTGATGCACCCTGGGAAACACTGCTGTGGTGTTTAGGAGAGAGAGAGAGAGAGAGAGAGAGAGAGAGAGAGAGTGTGTGTGTGTGTGTGTGTATTTGAAAGGCAAAGAGAGAGACCTCATCTGCTGTTTCATTTCCCAAATGCCCATGACAGACAGAACTGGGATAGGCCAAAGTCAGGAGCCAGGAGATCAATCCAGGTCTCCCATAGGGTGGCAGGAACCCAACAGTTCAACCATTGCCTGATGCCTCCCAGGGTATGCATTAACAGGAAGTTGGAATCATGTGTGAAGTCAAGTGTTCCTTTTAGGGCCATGGATATGGGGATGCGTCAGGTGGGGTCTGCTGCACCAAACATCTGCCCTGGAAGTGGATTTTACATCAGAGAACGGACCTTTTTCTGTTATTGTGAATGGTTTTACCCCAAGAAAATTTCTCCCGTGCATGTCTTGCCTTTGTCCACGTCGCTCAAAGACGTGTTTTCTGCAGTCACCACAGTCCATAGCAGCCAGGAAGAACTGCTTGCTTCCCCCCAGTCTGCACGGAGGCATCTTTAACAGTGATCTTGCCCTGAGTTTCCTTTCTATTACATCATAGCACTTGAGATCTCTTCCACAAAGCGTGAGAAAAGGAGAACTGGAATTCTGACTCTGAAACCCAGTTCTTCCTATTTTTGAGGCGTGTGTGTGACTATGGCAAGTTAATTCATCTCTTTGCCTTTTCTGTAGAATGGGGGCTGACAACATTATTTACCAACAAGGGCTGAGGAGAAATGGAGCACTTAATGGTTTATTGGTTGAATGGGAGAAGTTTGGCATAGCGGAGAAGTCAATACATTTGTGAATTGTTTGAAATAGTGTCGCCACTTAATTCAACATATTTATTCAGAGTTTTCTGTGCTTTATTGCTTTTGAGTCACCTGCAGGGGAGTTTTCTAATCTTTCCAGGCAGAAGTGTTTTTAGCCAGCATTAACATTTCCTGTTTGTTTTAATGTCTCCCTTTAGGTCATTGTACATTGCTTCCATCTTCTCCTACAGCTTTTGCTTTAAACTATATTGTTAGTATTTTTTTTTTTTGCCCCCTCCCAATCATGCATATCTCAATTCTTGCTGTAGCTATTCTGGAAAGAGAACAGGAACCTTCAGTAAGGAAGAGGCTGACGTGGATAGGGTACATGAAGAGGCACTTTGCAAGGGCCCCCTTCTAACCGGGCGGTAAATCAGCCACCTTTCTCAGAGAGAAATTAACAGTTCCACTCACACTGCTTAAATTTCTCTCCCCCAGCCTTCTATATGCTGTCTGCCACTTTCTGCTTTGTTGTCTTGTGCTTATGTAATTCCCCCCACCTCCTTTTTTTTCCCCCTGCCTTTACCTTCTGTATTGATTTAAATTAAGCTTGGTTGAAAAGAAAACACAAGCTTGCTGGTTGGGAGGTTTATCCAAGGCCTCTCTGCTCTAGTAAAATCCTGTGTACGGAGGTCCTGCAAGCCAACATTATTTCTGTTGTAAAAACAGCGTGTGCATGTTCTGAGACATGAGTCCTCTGTGTAGGATCCTCTCACACATGCAGGAACAGTTGACATTTCAGCACTTCCATAGGGAGAAAGCACAAGAATCCCGGCTCAGAATGACCAGGTCAGTCCTCTGGGGTCTGCTGCGTGACTTCCCTTGACCTTCATCTCCAACAAGAGCAAGAGGCTGGTGATTATTCCAGTTTTATACTTTGCTGTACAAGTCTGTTCTCAAAGACTTGCCTCAAAATAGAAGTTTCTTCAATAAAACATTGTAATGCAGCGATAGTATCACAAACAGTGACTTCAAACAACACATTCTGATCCTTTCATAGTTTCTGTGGATCAGGAGTTCAGGCATGGCTGAGCTGGATCTTCTGCTTAGTGTGAGTTTGGGCTGGGAGAGAGTGCTGTGGTCTCAACTGAGGCTGGACTGAGTGAGGGAGGACCCACATCAAAGCTCACTTAGATTGTTGAGATTTCAAATCCTTGCAGTTGTAGGGTAGACGTCTTCTTGCCAGATGTCCACCAAAGGCTGTCGTCAGCTCCTGAAGGCTGCTCCAGATCTCCTTAATAGGTGGAGTTTCTCAGTATACGCTTTGATTCCTCCATGCTAGCAAGGAAAGGAGAGAGGGGTAAAGACAGGTGCCACAATCTAATGGAACATAATCACGTACATAGAACATCATACGTGCTCATCTATCATCATCCTCTGTCTATATTCTTTCTATCTATAGGTATCTATCTGTAGATATCTACCCGGATTATATAGATAGAAACAAGTCACAAATCCTGCCCACAACCAAGAATAAAGGATCACCCAGGGCATGGAAGCTGAGTGGTACAGGTCATGGGGTTGCCACCATAGGAACCTGTTTGCCACCAAAATATGCATGTTTCTTTATTGGTTTCATACTGTGTTTGATAAGAAGATATGGAGAAAATGTTTACCATACACTTGAACTTCCTAGATGTGGCCTAAACATTGTCATGAGACCATTAGGTCTTGTTGACTTCCTTTCTTTGCTAACATGAAGCTCAAAAACCTCCCTCTCAAATCCATCACTTCTCTCTGGCCTGATTAAACAAAATGCCACGCTTGATGTTTATGTCTTTGGTTACGCGTTCAAGCTACTGTTTCCACTGTGCATATTCAAGGTCATTTTAAGAGGACTGAGACTCAGGCCTAGAATTGTTTCCTAGGAAATGGACTTAGTAAATAACCTTGGATTTCCAGTTGAGTTCCCAAAATTGTACACAAGTGAGATCAGCAGTTCACACATTATCTTAGGATTTCTGTTTCTCTGGATTTTGTACTTTCATGAGTGATTTGATGGTCAGTTTGCCCATGTAGTCAATTCGTAGGCAATACTGAGTATCTATTAGGAGTATAGCACTCTGTTTTGTTTGTTGGAGCAGTAAAAAAACACAGAATGCATGTCTACTACCTTTATAGAGCTTATGTGACTTTGATGAGATACATATATATGTATATATGCATATGGGGACCATAAATGTTATAAATGTTAATATATGTTCTTGAAAACACTAAAGGAGGGAGGGAAGAGGAGAGTGATGGAGGGAGGAAGGGAAAGAAGTAGTGAGGAAAGAAGGGAGGACAGAGAGGAACAAAGGGAAGATCTATTTGGGTTGTATCTTTAGAGACAGCCTTGTGAAAGGCATATGGTTTGTTCTGTACATAATGACACACGGCAGTAGAGCTGGGCAAGTATTCAGGGAACAAATGAAGTCCCATTTTATCCAATACCAGACTGTTGACTTGGGAAGAATTTTGAGGCTTTAAGCCACACTACCCAAGATATGTTTCTGCTTTACAGAGTACAGGACTTTTGTGAGAAATAAATCAATAAAATATCCGCAGTACTTTTGTAAACTAATTAAATCATCTGTAACATAAAAGTAGCTATTTTTCTGCTTAGAGATCAGAGGAAATCTAAATTCATCCTTTTTTGTTTTTTGCAAGCTTTTAGGTACAGGATACAAAAGTTGAAATTACATAAAAATATAGCAGATCAACCCATTCTCTTTGAAAAAGATTCAAATATTCTGGAGGAAATTAGAGTTCTCTTAGCCATTTTCACTGCCAGCCCTTCCACAGAAGCATTGTGGTGAATGAGTTGTATGTTTTTTTTTTTTAACCTTAAAATTGTGACACATTTATTTACAGATTCCCAAAGATGTACTTAAGAAATATTTCTAAAACTTGGAATAGAAAGTATTATATATTTGTCCATATGCTTCCAGTTATTGAAGTTTAAGTTAATTAGTATTTTAGATTAAGCTTAAATTTCTTTAAAGTAGTATAACATAGTATATTCATTAATAAAATACTAATTTAAGAATGATTGTGAAATTCTGGGGGTATATGCTAGGGAAATAACCATGAAAGTGGCAATAATCTGTGCCTAAAAATATTTATCACAATATTGTTTATAATAATGAAATATTAGAGCAGTGCAAGTGTCTGACAAGGAAAGTAATTATTAAATAATCACACAACCACACAACTGATTTTTCAAAGCTTCTGAAACTGCTGTCTACGAAATTTATTTTAATGTATGGGAATATGTCCATATTGTAATGTCAAATATTA